CACGCTGTCCCTAAGGGACTTTCAGAAACACTTTGTATTAACCAAAGCGAAAACCAGAACACTGATTGGCGACTCAAGAATCCTTTATTCTTGCGCCAATATGTAACCAGCAACAAGGTTATTGCACAAGGTCTAAGAACGAAAGTTATAACAATAAATCTTAATAATACTTCTGATAGTTTTCTCTGTCCTCCGACGAACAGCGAACGATGAGACGATGACTACCGTATTGATGACTCCCGCGAAAAATATGGAGTTAGGTTTGAGCAAACAACCATGACTTCATCATTCAATCTTCAACCACATTGGCACCCGGTGTGTGCCGCTATCCACTGTCTAAACAAATCTATGTCCAATTACGTAGTGTAAGTATACTACTATAATTAGTAATAAAATGGGTCACAACAATAGCGTCACCGTTGAATGCAGGCAAATGAATTTTAGCTGTATTCGGAGGGTTATTGTAAATTTAAAGGACACAAAAAATATATAATTGTTTTATGGTATGAGAACCGAATTGAGGATTTTAAATTTTCTGAGGTTTGCTAATATAATGCTAACAACTTTAAAACAAACCAAAATGTTCAGAAATTTGTGCGAAATGTTGTGCTTTGCATTCGTGGCTTTAGTTAAAGGTTTGTGGTCTGTTTAAATGGTAAACGGTATTCCCTCGATCAAATGACGAAAATGTTTAACAGCAAGATAGACTGCTAATAATTCGCTACTAAATGCACTATATCTTGATTGAGTTGAATCTAGACGTTTGTACAAAAAGGAGAGAGGTTGCCATTTCTCAGCAGAAAATTGTTGAAGAACCGCTCCAACGGCGACATCTGATGCATCTGTCATAATAGCTATAGGAGCGTTGGTGTCACGACGCACCAGAAAGGTTTCTGAGCTCAGAGTTTGTTTCAGCTTTTCAAATGCTTCGATTGCTGAAGTATTCATGGGCAGCGATTTTGCGTGACCTTTTAGTAAATCTGTCAGAAGTTGGGCCAGATGTGCATACTGAGGAAAGAAACTGCGGTAAAAATTGGCGAGACCGAGGAATCGGTGTAAATTTTTGAAAGAATCTGGGATGAGGTCTTCTTTCATGACTCGAAGCTGTTCTGTTATCAGTCGAATGCCCTGATTTTCTAGCTGATATCCTAAGTATTTTAAGGTTTTCTTACCGAATTCACATTTACTTGGTTTAATGACAATCCCATATTCGGCCAAACGTTTAAGGAGTGTTTAAAAGGGCGCAAGTGAATGTGAGGCCGTGCAGGATCCGGTCGATGAATCTCTAAAATGTTTGCGCTGCGTTAGTTAAACCAAATTGCGAACGGGCGAACTTGAATAAGCTAAAAGGAGTGGTTACCGCAGTTATGGAGATGTCCTTGAGTTCTATATGTACACGGTAGTATCCACGAACAGGGGCAACTTTGGAAAATATCTGAGCACATGCCATGCAAAGAAAAAAATCGTGGATATGCGGAATCGGGTGTCTATCTGCCATCGTTTGCTTGTTTAAACTTCGGTAATCTCCACATTGTCTCATCTCTGTTGAGTTCCTCTTTGATGCCATATGAAGTGGTGATGACCATGGGCTGTTTGACGGTCGTATTACTCCTGGATCCAACATTCTGTTGAACTCTTCTTTTGCTATTTGCATTTTAGCTGGATCTAAACTACGTGGTTTTTCTGCGACAGGTGGATCTTTAGTCACAATATGGTGCGTTGTATTTGAGAGAGGCTGTGGAGTAATCACTCTGTGAGAGCTCTGGAAATTTCTTTAGCAAAATCTCGTACGTGGATAATTGATCTGATTTAGCTGCCATAAGGCGGATACTCTAAACATCGATGAAGATGCCTGAAATCGATAGTTTGCGATTGTTACTTATAAATCTATGGCGACTAGGATCGACTGGCAGTGCGTAGTGCTGAAGAAAATCAATCCCAATAATAAGAAAGGTTATTTTAGCGGTGGCGAACTCCCACTCAAAGGATGCACTGCAAACAAATTAAGTTTTTGTCTTCTAGTTCCAAAGGGCTTTATAGCAGAGCTATCCTCAGCCTTAAGTACTAATGTGGGATTAGGCTGTAAACGTTCGCTGGGTGTTATGGGAACTTCATTGACTTCTGCGCCAGTATCTACCAGGAATTGCACTCCCATTATTTTATCTGTCACCCTGAAGAGATGACTGTGGGACAGGTGTTGGCCTGCGATCGCAGTCGTCACCGACCGCCGGCCTATTCGTTTCCCAATGCCATAGGTTGATGGAAACCGCATGGTTGTGTGCACCGTTTAGCGTGTACACCTAATTTTCAATGATACCAGTGTAACAATAGAAGACAAGGGCCGGTAACAGATCGTTTACTACGGAAATCAGCACGTATTTTATATATTTCATGTATAGCATTATATCGTATTCAAGCAGACAAAAACACTCTTCTGATTAGTTGTTTCTGGTTTCTCGGAAAGTTAAGCCATATATTTGCGAATCGTATTTACCCACGTTAAGTCCGCTCTGATTGGTTGCTGAACCAGCCTTGTTCATATTTTCTCATGGCCCATATTAGTGACTTACACATTGACGTAAATTAATGTCTACCAATTGGCTAGCAGCCTGCTCTCACCACACCAGCATATAGTCTGTTGTAAGCTATATTTTCGTACGTTGGGTGAGCGACTACGCCGTCTTCTGCATGATGTAATAGGTTGTCCACTAAACCTTATAGTCATCAGTTGTCTGGTCAGGACGTCTGTTTTACGTTCTAGTGCTTTCATGCGTTCGTGTGATGATTTGCCGAGTATAGATGTTACTTGTGGAGACATCCTTTCATACATTCCGTCAGCGATTCCTGCTAACTTGTTGATGTCTACGTCTTCGCCTCCAAACGCTAAAACCTACTAAATGTTGTGGGGTAACCACCGTTACCACAATTGGTGGAAAAACCTGGTGTTTACCTTCCGATTTCTTAAATTGCTACACATATGGCTTTTTAGTAGAGAAGGTGTCCTATCAACCAGACCAACATTGCTGAGCTGCTGATCAATAGCTTTATGGTCTGATAATGAAGCGAACTTAATGACCTTCTGCCTTAAAATATCGTGTGGAGTTTCTGGATCTGAACTTATGAGCGTCTCCCGTACTTGCTCTGCTACTTCATCCGGCAAGATGGAGCTTGCATAGCCAAATTTCGTAGTCTGAGAAGTGAAGTGCTTAGTTAGAAATTAGTGTTCTAGGCGAGATATGGATCATAAGGTTTAAAAGGTGGTATGCATATGGTAACTGCAGCCACTGAACTTGTACTTGAAACATTGTTATCAGTATCAAGCGACATTACAAAAGTGTAGAAAATAGTACATATATACGTATATAGATGATAGCAGAACAAGCAGAACAGAATATAGGCATGTTCAGAAATGTCCAAAAATGGTCTGCTTGCCGAAAGTATTTTCAACAAAAATGTCAGCAAATATGTATAAATATATATCCAAATGTGACGTAGATATCAAAGTTAACACGATAGAATTGATGATTAAATCCAATATGTGTGTTTCGAAATGATGTAGTCGATCAGCTAAGTCAGGCTCACCAATTGTTGCGGTGCTCTATTTAACCAAACTAGCGTACACATACATCTTGGTACTTCTTCGTGTTTATTATCGTGTCCAAAAGTTGTGATTACTCGACACCCACAACGTAAGCCAAAAGGAACTTGAGAAGGAGTACGAATGTGCATTCTCGCAGTAGTCAAAATATAAAAGTTGATTAAGCCCAATGTATCAATTAATAACACATTATTAAAGTCCATTTACGTAGTGAAGGTATACTACGATGATGAGCAATGAAGTGGGTCACTACAAGCCGAGCTATCTAATCCTCAGGGTTGACTGACAATTTCGGCAGCAGTGTAGGACTAGTTTTGCCTACAGATTTAGTCCGTCCTCAGTACTGACGACACAGAGTCTTAGCTTAACTATAGTTAAAAACAGAGTAACTTGACTTAAACTTTATCTGTTTCTAAAACATAAAATAAAGCGCACAATTACACCAAGAAAGGCACAAATCCATTGTAACTCAAGAAAGGACAAAAACATACCGAACAGTATGAAGGAACAGACAAAATGAACAGTTAATTAGTTACATATACACACCATAGAGTGACAGGAAATAAACAACATTCAAGATCACATCACATGGTGAAAGTTACATTAAATTAGCCAATTATCGTGACAAAGGGTAATATATATCGATTAGCTGTCCGTCAATCTGTCCATCTATCGCGATTAACTGGTAGATCACTTCTGACCCTCATGGAGACTGTCATGGAACATCATGCCCTATAAAATATATGATCCACGGACTATCGAAATACTTTTCATGTTTGGTTAGATGCCAACTCTAATAAATAGTCATTGTGAGGCGTTATCAGTTAAATATGTGGCTTATGATTATGTTTAGGTTTGATCCCTATATGGTCTTAACTTTTGGCATCTCTGTCCTACATCTGGCTCGTGGACACTAACTTGTCCACTGATGATGAATGGAATGAATTTAAAATACACCAGGAATGACTACCACTGAATTCACTCCCTGTTGGGTACCAAGTGGGTCTGTGAGTCGTCTCCACTGGATGAATGGGCATATTATGTCACTCTTTCAACTTAGAAAAAGATTATGAAACCTCAAGCCTTGAAAAGTTTTCACAGAATTACTGTAGGTTAGGATTAAACTTGCATCTTGATTCATGCACAGCATCCACAGTGATATATTAGTAAAAAGTAGGTCTCGTTATCCAACGAACAGTAAGCGTTCAAGGTGATTCTAGTGCTCTGCTCGGACTCCTGGACCGTAATGCTTTCGCTTGTCCAGTGACAGTGTCTCTGTAAGGTTTAGTCTTTTTTTATTTTTACGACACTGGGATACTTTTTTTCTACAACAGACTGTAATAGTTCGTCTAATTAAATCCTCAACGCGCACAATTTTTATGTTGCGCTACCCCTAGTCAGGATGATTATTGTACACGGGGTGGTAAGTTCCACATTTCGTAATTCCTCATTATCTACTCCTAAGAAAACTCCACTACTTCGATCTCACCTGCACACCAAACTTCCTCCGTGCTTAAAATTATGGGACGAAAAATATTATGGTGCTAAGTTTTCGTCGAGGTAAGTATTAGTACTAACAGTGACTCATTTGTGTATTTTGTCGTGTGCGCGTGTGTAGCTAATGCTTTGAGGATAACAGACAAATGGACAGAGTAAAGTATGGCTACCCAAGCAAACTACCAACAGGATGACGTACGCCTAACGTTGGGCGACCAATAAGTTATTCAGGCAGAAAATTTAGAAAACAAATTAAGTTACACAGCACTTATTCAGGTTGCTAATTTCTCATATATTCTGTATATGTCTTCAGTTTGGTATTGGTGTTCATAATGTTAGTTCGAAACAGTTTCGGTACATGAATTCGTCGGGGTGACTGTGTATCGTGTCATTTCCTGACGTATTTATTATTCAAATTCTGCTTCTCAAACGCCCCAAGAGTCGTTCTGTGGAATTAGTGCCATCCAGTGGAATAATAAGATCAGAAGAAGGATGTTTCACGGTGTTTTAGATGTAACGGGATAACCATAATTCTGATCTTAGAATCTCATGGTTCAACTCCTCAGATATCATAGCTGCTGCCGTAGTCTGTTGCATTTAGTGAATCTTAGCTACTTTTCCCTTTTTTATTTCCATTACTTTACATCGGCATAAGGGTTCAATGTCAGTGTACCATCATTTTGTTCCTCCTTAATCCGAAATGTCGATAAATGGAATATCAGTTTATATTATGTTATCCTTCTTATTTGTGCAATAATGTTTTAAGTAAACTTCGTACATAATTCGTGCCAACAAAATATTTCAGTCGTCATAGGAGCTGTACTGTGATGAGTCTAAAACATCAGACAGCACGTTTACAGGGGTCGGGAGACTATCTGTTGTAGTATATTTCCTTATGATGATTCTTCTTTATTATGTATACACATGGGGCAATTATTTTAATCGCATTAAATCCGTCCGAATACAAGTAACTAAGCTGATGTAATATGACGTCTCCGATTAAACTAGAAGATCTGAAATCTGGCTGGGAGAGTGGAAAATTTTTGATGGCATGTCTATGTCATCGTCGTGAAGCTGAACATAGAGCTACCTTTTTCTATGTCCTTCCAGTTTCAGGCACACATGTGTACGGACTAATGCACGATCCTTATCTATGTAATTGTTTTAAAATGAGGGACACACTCAATTAACTGTCTTCCATCATTTACAGTTAGGTCTGTCTGTCTGTCTGGATTCAACATAGAACTTGGCACCGAAGTGCAGCAGTTCGAGTTGCCACGTTCCAAATAGCACACAAAAGTAGACAAGAAGATGAGTGAAGAGAATCAATAGTTTGACAAGTATACGAGTGAAACAGAATGGGTAATGGTAGAAAGGAATGTGAAAGATTGCAGAGACTGAATACATCTGCGCTGGCCATTGACAACGATTTTGAGCCATGTCACCTATTGTCTTCAGCCATTGATTCCTAGAGTCCCGAGGGCCCCAACCCTGAAGTCTGCATCTCCCTACCTTACTCAGTTACCTTACAGTTAGGTGGGTTATTATGGTTTGGACTAGTGCGAAGCTCGATGTTGATAAATTAATCAACTGGTTGTTTGGCAGTTGCCAGATGGGTAGTGTTTTTCCTTGAGTGTAATTAATACTGGCCAGGAACAGATGTTTAGAAAGGGTACCACCTTAGTTAGTTTATTGACATAAAACTTCATATGTATCCCCAATATTTCTTTCCGTTCCATCCAGTTTCTCCACGATTTTTAAAATCTTTTGCCATTATGAGGATCTGAGCGTAGCTGAACACTACGCAGTTTAGTTGGCGAAAAGTGAACATACGGTGACGAGGTGGTCTATTTTTGAATGTCTTTTTGAATCAAGTTGCTCAGCTCCATGTGATCTATACTTTAAGGTCGTATGCAAAGGTAAACCTAGGCACTCTAATAGTTTGTTTTTGTTACCTATATATATCTGAAGTACTGGCTATACATATACGGCCTCCAATGCCTCAGGATGGTCGGGGTGGGTGCCTTGCGCTGCGGGTTGGCCACCCCTCCGCACACCTCTTGAAATGCTCCCATATGACCGGGTGTCTTACATAGCCTCTCCTGAGGAAGTCCTACTCACTGCCTTCACGTGGCGGAGGTGTTTCTCACCAAAGTGAGAGGGCGAAAGCGGATGCCCGGCGCTCTCCACCGGGTTGACTGTCCATTGGATGACGGTCTAGGGGAGATGGCTAAACCCTGATTCCAAACCTCCAACGACTGGCGTATGAAGCTCACTGGAGCTCACCGGCAGACGTATGGACAAAGGGCTTGTTGGATGTCCTGGATGTCTGGCCCCATTCAAAAAGGCGTATGAACCGAACTCCGGTCACCGGCTGCCAATGGATAGTGGACTCCTTACTCCACTCCTACTGCCTTGTAGGTCACACTTGGCTGTGTGAAGGCTAGAGCTGCACTCTCAAACAAAAGGCCGGGCGATGCTGGGGACATCACTCGTACCAAATTCCCATGAAACTTCATGAACTCTCTTACAAATTGCCGCGCCTGGGCAGCGATGATTCGAGACGTTCATGAAGCCGGCTCATCCTCCCGTAGGAGATAGCCGAAGTAAAGTAAAGTAAGTATAAACGGAAACGTAAATCTCTTAATACCCATTTACATCTTTAATAAGCTTTTGTAGTTCTGTAGTTCATCTGCTTCAATCCTATCTGCCTCCTTAAGTTATATTAATTATTTTTATTCTCATCACGTATATATTGACGGATCAATTCTCAGTACCGTTTGGTGTTTTTTACAGCTTGAAAGTTGCTGAACAAGTACTTTGTATCTAAATCCTCCGAGAAAGCCAAGATATTTTCTTATCTACTGTCGTTTTCATTATATTTCAAACTGTGTGGTGTGAGTACGTATTAGCTACACATAGGGAAAGTTCCGTCATTATTTACAGTATTTTGAAATAGTAGGGAAACCTAGCATTCATCTGTTGAAATATTCTCGATTTTCTCATTATTTGTTATCATTGGATGCTTCAGCATTCTAGACGATGTGTTGAGTTCGAGTCTCAGTGGGAACACTAACACTTGCTGAGATGGAGTCACAGCCAGTCATAAGCAAGACGAAACATGCATCCTGTATTCCACGTTTGACTACCACCGCCCAAATGACAGTAAGAACTGTCGTTCAGTTTTTCTGATGGTAATATCTCATGTATTGTTTTTCCTTCGCCTATTTTCTATCACTAAATTTTACAAATTTTGTGTCCTTTTTTAAAAAAAAATGAAATATCCAAAATTATCAGTTCTCATTCTGAGAATGTTATCCCACCTCGCAAACCACGAAGACTTTTCCGGAAGTTTTTATTTTTTGGCGTTTTGTCGATCGGTGCCTTCATTGGTTCAGTGTACACATTTGAAACTGTCCGAAATGAATTAGTCACATACTATCCACCTTCAAAACAAATGTTAAATTGGGTTGAAAGTTCAATTGGTGGATGGTATTCTAGTGGTTCAGGAGAACAACAATCAGTTATTACCCCGCCAGTCAGCGATTTTCCTCTCCCACTCAAGTAAGTGATACAATAAAAAATGTGTTTTTTTGTTTTCAGCTGGTATAACTATCATTCTTCAAGATTGCATTATATTCTGTGTTTTGTTTTCTTATTTTCGTTAACGCTGTCGGTTTATATGACTTAGTTTAATGCAGAATAAGAGACCAAACAAAACCCTCGTATATTTCACTTATTTGGTGTTGTACGCCAACTGTGAAAGTTCTTTTCTCTTACCAGGTTATCGCAGCCGCTTATCTTTTAAACTCTGTTTCAAAGTGAATTAATGTGTCTTAAGCAGAAATACTGAACAGTTATACAACCTTATATTTCGAGTTATTGAACAATATTTCAGTAAGGTCATAGACTCGCAATATAGTTTATAGTGTATAGCATGTTTTACGTTCAGATATGAACTGCTCGATAATCAAGCCCTACCTCTTTTCATTTAGTGACAAATAAGCGTTGATAAGTACATGTTTAATGAATCCTTTGTAAGTACAAGCTACACAGAGTAGAAATTATAGTTGAATTTGGGTCAAATAATAAATTTCAGAACGTCTGTGATAAAATTAAAATAAGTTTTTAAATACTTCGAAGTTGATAATTCATCCGTAGAAGAACCACTACCTATATTACCACTAACATTCTGTGATTAGCTTGAAAACTTAATTGTTTCCATTAGTCATTTTAAATGTTAACAGGTCGTAGTGCTTTGAAGTAGATAAATGTTACCTGAAGGAACACTGGATACTTTCCTCATCCTCATCAAGAGATCTTCAGAAGTCCTTACGCACTACCTCACAAGGGATAAAGCCGGAAACGTTAGGTTAAAAAGTCTATCAAACCGTATTCTAACATCACTATTCAGCGTCGCAGTTGCGTAACTCTAGCTGGATTAGTGAATACCTCTCAGGAGCTTGCTGATTGCTTCTCAAGGTAAATTTTGTCTTCAAGTTAACTGAATCTACACAATCCCAGCATTTAAATTTGGAATATCCAGTAAAATATTGAGTCACGTAGGAACGTATGGTCAATTATATTTTACTATATAATAATACAGTGAAAAGCTGATTACGATACTAATAATAATAACAGTAACTTCAATGTCAGAACCAATGTTTCTACCTTATTGAGAATGTGTTCGAGCCATGTAGTGTTTAATTTTCAGTTATCGTTCACTGTTTTATAATCCACACTAACAGTTAGTTAGGGAGTTCTCCTAACTTGTGGACATCGTCTTCTTGAACTGACTGAAAAAGCGATTCATTGATAATTAGATATTACTTATGTAACATGATCTGTGAGGTAGAATCATTTGTGTACGTTGGGTGCTTAACTGACTTAATAATTCCATGAGTATTGAACTATGCAAAAAAATTTACTGTTCTTAAATCTGACATCAACCAACAAACTGGCAGAAGAAGCAGAAAAGACAGAACTTCAAGTAAACTCCGAAAAACCGGAGATGGTGGAGATTAACAACCAACCAACAACTAGCACCAATCACTATCAACGGGTGAAATTTGAATAAGGTCACTTCGTTTACTTATCTGATCTAGGCGACATCGTTTCAACTGCAAGCGTAACGGGTGAGGATGTCAAAGCCAGAATCGAAAAGGCAAGAAAGACATTCATCACTCTATAATCATTGTGGAAATCTGCTGCAATTAGGGTAAAGAGCAAAGTTCAGATTTTCAACACAAATCTTAAGTCAGTTTTTCTATTTGAATCAGAAACTTGACGTGTGCTTCACGAACAACATTCCCAACAGTCTCCAGACTTTTATCAGCAGCTGAGCTTGTTGGCTCCACAATGAAGATCAGATGGTCGACTAGAAAGAATTAGCGACAAGAAACTCTGAGAACGAAATAACCAGGAACCTACTGCTCAACAAATATTCCAGACAAAAAAATGGAAATGGATCGGACACACTCTGAGGAGACCATTTGGTGATATAGCATGCCAGGCCGCCGCTCGAGTAGAACCTCGGTGGGAAACAACGAATTGGGCTTTGGTCCGAGGGTGACATAGAGGAGGTCGTGCAAGAAGGAGGTCAGAGACTATAGGTAGTGGTCCGGCCAGCTAAAGAGGATCGTGAAGAATGGGTAAAGTGGAGATGTGCTATTGAAGCCCACTTGGAACCCGAGGGAACAATAATAAGAAAAATAATAAATTAGGTTAACATCAATTCCAGGTGTAAGAAGAAAGGGATTTTATTGAGAGGTATTCATATACCATGCTTATTTACAGATAAGTAGTTACAAACATCCTGCGCAGAACATACTAAGTTATGATGTTCAGTTGATGAGATGCGACTTAGTCGATAATGTGCGTTGAGGGGTCACTTGACTGTCCTCTAGACATATTTGTGTCAATATAACACTGTTTATTGATCTTTTATATTGTAATTTGAATATATTTTATTACTGCTTTACTCTAGACAAAAATCTGAACCCCCTCCTCCACCGAAACCTTCACCTAGTCCAGAACCCGTTAATGTAAGTTGTTTGAAATGATGAGATAGTTTTGTTTTCAGAAATTTATTTTTCGGTTGGAGATTTTGAAACTTGATCTCTGTCGTAAGATGCTTTTTTCTTCGTCCTCTAAGCCATGTTTAAAATAACCATTCATTAAGAATTGACAGATTTCTCGTTTATGAAGGGACTTCTACACAGTTGAATTGGAAGTGCAATGATTGAGCACATTGATCACTTCACATGGTTGAGAAATTGTTTCACTCACAGTGTGTTAGTTAATCACAAAATCTCGGTACGAATAAAATGAATAATTTAGAATTTGTGTATGTATCCTATCAATGGTGTCGATGATGCATTTACATACCTATCGCAGGTGATATGTAGTGTGCAGAGGTAGTATTCTACATCCAAAGGGTCCTAGATTATCTGGCTAGGGTGTTTGCGATACTAAAATCTGTGTTCAGAAACTCATCGTGGGATAGCATAAAGTTGTTCACACTCTATTTCCGTACCCTTATGTTTAATGACTTTTGGAAGTTTAACAACTTAAATTGATTCATTTCTCTTATAAACTTCTATTTGGTTTCGTTAATCATTCAGTTATACTTTTTTAAGACATTGAAAAATTAACGGTCTCAAGTCATCGCTGGTTTCGTAGCATCAACTTAGTGATGAACTCAGAGAGTGAGTAGTTCTGAATTTGAGTACAAAGTGCGATAAATGCGAATCGTATATGGTAGGTAGACTGTAGGTGTATACTACTTATCTTGATCATCAGTCATAGTTTCAGTAGATCTCAGTTAGGAAAAGGATAAACGTAAAAAGATCAAGATATGTGAGAGTAATTTATGTAGTCTTTAACTTACGTTCTTATAAAAGTTTTGTATTTCCCAATGAATGAAAAACAAAGCGATATTGTTTTTAGTGACGTTTCCCTATCTAATGCTGCCAACAGCTTTATCAAAGTAGTACTACTAAACCAGAATTTACAAAGTCTCTCAGCTTATATATAACAACTTAATCATCAAGCACGGGGGCATTTTTGCGTTGTCAAATTGACCAATTGGTAAAGGTAACAAAACCAGGTGTAGATTGTTGGATTTGATAAATAAGTGTGTGAAATTATGATTATAGAAGCAGAGTGTGTTTACATAATGAAATTGGTTATCACATTTGTGTTGATTTTGTCATTTCATGGAGGAGCGGAGTGGGTGTTGCAACCAGGTTAAATTCTGTTTTACTCAATCATTCGTATTCAGACAATTTGGATTCCATTTGATGATATGAAGTGCTTCTGATGAAATTAGACGTTCTTTGTGATTTCTGAAATGCTTTTTCTGGATTATTTCAATATTGTCAAAATCAATTTTATGACCTGATTCTATAGTGTGTAGACCTATGGCTGGTGATTTCTCAAGCCTTTCTAGTTCAATCGCATTTCTTCGTGGTTTGTCGGTGTTCATTTCTTCTGATTTTGATTTCCCAAGATGTTTGTCCGATGTATATCACATATCGCATTCCAATCATTGTATTTTGTAGACACAATTAAATTGAGAATCCTTAGGGATTTGATCTTGTACTCGGAAAAAGTTGCTTTCTAGTGAGCCTGTCTCATGTTTTGAAGAAAACCCTGATTTGTTTATTTAGTACTCTTCTGATATCGCGTGACGTTTCTGATCTATATAAAATGACAACTGTTGAGGTCCATATATTAAGAATACGTTTTCAGTCATATATAATGTCGGTGTTAATTTTGTAGATGAAGTTCTTTGGGTAGTTATTTTTGTTGAGAGTCTCAGTAATGTTTGATATTTCCTCTTTTTGATAAAGCTATTAGCAGCAGCATTAAATAGCGAAACGTCAGTAAAAACAATATTTTTTTGTTTTACATTCATTAAGAAATACAAAAATTCTTATAATAATGAATACCATATACCCAATGCCCAAATTGTTTCAAACTGTTAAAAGTGAACTTGGTTTGAATGATGTAGTATAGCGTGGTCCTACATTGTTGTAGTGCTGAAAATGGTGGGAATCAGTGATCACAAAGTAGTTAATACGGTTCAAAAGAGATCATAGAAGCTTAGATATACTCACCCTCCGCTATTTTCAAAGATATCACTAATTACCTTATTTTCTTTGAGACTTTTTGGAAACTTGACCTCTCACGCTGTTTTTATACGGTTTTTCTCTTTTTGTTTATGTTTGTAATAATTTTTTTCAATATGATTGTTGTCTCTACATATCTTTGAATTAACTATATCTCTACAAGCCAAATATTGGAATATTAACCTACTGCCTATCGGTGATTGATTTCTGAAGCTTTATTGATCAGTCGTGACGGACGCAACCGCTAGCCAATGTCTTCGGCGAGTATTTGTCCAATGGTTCTCTAACTAATGTCAGCTCATGATGAAATCCTGTAAATAATCAAATCCCTACAAACCAACACTTGAATATGATTATTTTAGTTTTTTTTCTCTCAAGAAAGCCACATAGCTCTCCAACTTCTCTGCTTTCCGAGTGAAGAATAAGACTTCAGCCTTAAGCCTATGTAGTGTCAGTAGCAGTGGTGTTTTCCTCACAGGGCAGATTCATTAATCTCTCACCTGATCTTCTCTCTCTCCCTGGATTACTATCGATTAGTAAGTCAGGTGAAGTTTAGAAGTGGATTAGCTAAATGGGAATCACACCTCGGACTGCATTCACGATTGGCGAGCATTCGACTGATGCATTACGTGCAAGTTAGTGATGAAGTATCTCACGACCATTTTATTCCCTCCAAATTCATCTCTTCTTATGCATAGGAATGTATGACTCCTTTTCTTAGTCTGTCTGTCTGTCTTTCTGTCTGTCTGGATTCAACATAGAACTTGGCACCGAAGTGCAGCAGTTCGAGTTGCCACGTCCTTTTCTTAGTAATGAGGGAGGGAGGAGGACAAATACTCACCAAGAGCATTCATTGGTTGGTGGTTGCGCTAAATTCACGAGTGATCAGGCATTAGAATTCAGGGGCAATTGAGTTGAATCCCATTATAGATAAAATTTATTTTCATAAAGCCCCACCGTGTTATACAGTAATATTTACTGATGACGTTTCGAGCACAAACTATTGCCACTCATAATCATATCAAGTTTGAGTCCCATTGGCTGACGAATGGTCTACGAGCTCGCCTTGTAGCCTGCTTTCGGAACCCGATGGCCGGGTACCGATGATGAGCTCCATACTAGGACAAAACGTACCTGCAGTACTCCCTTGCTTTCAATCGGTAGTCAAACCTGAAGTAAACCATTTATCTCTGAACGTATAATAACACCAAAAGGTTTATATAATAACTTTATCCTTGTTTTTAGTTTAATATGCGATATGCTTTTTTAAAATTTTAGGTCCAGAAAGAAAAACCTCCCTTACCAACTGAAGAAGAGGTCAAAGATATGATAAGTAGACGTCATATACCATTGATGAATGTAGAGTTGAGTAAGTTTGTGTAGATTTTCTATTTTCATTTCTTTATCCTGAAAAATGCTCTTCGACAAAGTAAAAGAAGTGTGTATATAGATTTAATTGAATTTTAGATTTACCCGTCGGTTGCTTGGACCGAAGTGCTCGGTCTCAGGTTGACAGGTCGGCTTCTTGTGCAGATGCTCCGACGATGTCTCGGCATTTAATTAGTATTTAATTGGTGGATGATGACTAGCAGTGGAATCCAGGATGCTCATTTCGTCTTATTTTGGACTCGTCATCTGGATGTGCCTGCATTTCTCAGTGAGTGATGGTGTTCCGACCGGGCTTGAACCCAGCGCCCTTAGTTTCAAACGCCAAAGCGTTACCCTCTAGACCACTTGGGCCAAGAGAACCACATCTTGTGGATCTCTTCTGCAAGGGGTCATATTAATTTAGTTGAATTTGAGCTTTTCCATAATCCCCAAGATGTGGCTCTCGTGGCCCAAGTGGTCTAGTGGATAATGCTTTGTCGTGTGAAACTATGGGCGCTGGGTTCGAGCCCTGGTGGGAACATCCTCACTCACTGAGAAATGCAGGTACATCCAGATGACGAGTCCCAAATAAGACGAAATGAGCATCCTGGATTCCACTGCTAGTCATCATCCACCAATTAAATGTATAAATAGATGTTAGACAGCTGATCATAGTGATTACTATTACAGTCTCATACAAATGATGTCAAAATCACTCAAAATGGTCATAAGTACCTATTCACTTGACTCATAGAAAAAAAGACTGTTTCTAAAATGTTGATACTTCATCAGATATTTCATTCATAAACATATTCAGTAGAGGGTATTGATCTTATTAATTGATTAGAGATGTCCATTATAAATTCTAAAAGACTGATTAGTGAACGAAAGATACTCTTTTCGATAATTTTTTCATCAAGTTCTACAGCTATGTGTCCGTAATAAGTGATGCCTGTTTTCCAATTTGACAAAAGTGTCCTGATGTTTAATACTCGAATATGAAGTTGGCTTCGTGGCTTTAAGAGGCTATCCATAGTGCTTTTCCGGCTCTCGTTGGTATTATTGATCACAGAGTGAAAAGAAGATGGTATACCTGCCTTTAGAATGGTATTAACAGATAGGGAGTGTTGACTACTTTACTTGTCTGGGAGGTTACATCAGCCCCAACCGATTGATTGCTGACGAAATCTCACCATGGATACAAAAGGCCCGTGTGGCATTCGCCAACTTACACCATATCTGGTGAAGACATGATATCTAGCTATCGATAAAAATATGTGTACTGCCTAGCAGTTCGCTTCTCTCTCCTTTATCACAGTGAGACATGGCGATTGAAAGTGGAATGTATGAAAAGTCTAGTTGTCTTTGATCATGACTGACTGACTGACATAGAATCTTGCACCGATGTACAGCAGTTTGAGTCGCCACACTTCACTCAGCACACAAAGCCATAGAAGAAAGTAATAAGAAACGCTAAACAGAGACAGTAGGCAGAGATATGAGGCAAAAAGAATAGTAATAACGAAGAACAATATAGTTTCATTGGAAATTATAAGTCACAAGGAGTGGATGCATCTGCGCTATTGAGAGCGATTTCGAGCCATATCACTAATTGTCTCCTGCCGTCATTGGTTTTCACCATCCCCAGGACCCCAACCAGTGTGAAAGTCTACACCTTCCGACGTGGATTAAACGGATTGTGGATTTCATTGACTGATTAAGCCATGTTTTGGTTTGACCACCACTAGCTCTTTCCCAACCTGGTCCTATGTCAGCTAACGTTGCCCGTTGTCGAGGAAGGCGATGACTGTGCATGTGTAATATATGTCCTAACCATCTCAACTGATGTAGCTTCACAGCCTCGTCGATTGATTTCCCCTCTTTACCTAGTACTTGACGCCTAATCTCAATATCGCTGTCACCCTATTAAAACACTTCACACGGGAGATAGAACGCAGACACCTATAATCAAAGACAGTTAGCCTTTTCATGTCTTCCACTCAGTCATTGTTCATACTTGTCGGGATTCTGTCTCCCTTATTAAGTTGTGTAATATGATGAGTAATATTGAGGTTAGGCGTAGAGTGTTACGTAAGGAGGGGAAGTCAGTTGATGAGATTGTGAAGCTAAATTGATTGAGATGGTTAGGGCATGTGTTACGCACGCCTAGCCAGCACCCTCAACATTCAGTGTTAGCTGACATTGGATTGATTAGGTTAGGAAAGAGTTAACTAGTAGTGGTCAATTCAAAACTCAGAATCGAGCCGTGAGATCTTTGAGAGCTAGTTTGAGGTACTCAGGGTAGTGTAGATTGCCTGGTTAGGGTCTTACAGATTCTAAGAACCATTGGCTGGAGACAGTTGGTGATATGAATCGAAGTCGTTCGCAATGATGGCGTAGATGTATTCACTCTTTGTGGTCTGCCATATCCATGTTATACTATTCTTTCTTTCTCACAATGCTGCCTGTTATCGTTGCTTCAAATATTCAAATGATGATCTGGAAATCATAGTCAGGGTTGATAGAGTGAGTGATAGAAGTGTCGATCAAGTGTTCTAGCATAGATCTTCGCACACACACCCTTCCTTTCTGCCTTGTAAAACCATACTGCTTGAATATGTTCTCGTTGTTTTACAACTTCTGGTACTGTTCAATGATCAGATTGAGGTTTTGAATAAAGCTATTATCTTATCTTATCTTCATGTTTGTTGTGTTAGTTGTACGTTTTCGAAGTAATTTTCAAGCATAATGTGTAGTCTAAGTCATCACTGATGTTAATAAATATTTCCTTGTCAAAATTATTTCTACAGATGATTTGCCTATTCTTGTCAGCGAAACAGAAAGCAAAGTGGAAAGTGCCAAAATCAAATTAAAAGAACTTGAATCAATCACAGTGAAATATATTGATGCACTTCGTGCTGCTGTACAGGATAATAATGTAGGTTGTTTTTTGTTTTTTTGACACTATCGTGTAGATGGGAGTGAAAATATTTCCCAATCAGACTATTTGAAGTAACTAGCTTCAGGTTAGCAAACTGACCTAATGTTGTAATAGGCTGATGATTTGGGTGAAAGGAAAGCTTGATCTATGGCTGCCTTTTTTTCTGGTTAATGTGGAGTTGTGTGCAAACTGATGCGAGGTACAAGTTTGAACCCCATGCTAACTGATTTATTGGATTTTAATACCGAATAAATCACAGCAGTCACATCGCCTGCTATCTAGGATCCATCAAATCGATTGTAACTACCTTCTAGTGGGCGATGTTGTTTGAACTTGATGATCTTAGCCTAAAGTTCTACAGGGTTACTCAACATGTGATGTAATCAGTCAGTTATAATTTATCTCAAGAGTTAGTTTATGGGGTTTGATTTGTTTCTATTTTGACTAAGGATTGATATCAGTTGGGAAACCATTAAAAACCAGGGAGTGCTAGGTAGCTGTTTCGTCGTAGCTTTCGGACGTATAGGCAGAACTCACCTATCAGGTATCGAACGCATAACATTCCGGCTACAAGTCAAGCTACGAAATCATTCATCCACTGCGGCCCAACTCAATGGCCCATGGTTTAGCAATCCGCAGTTAAACTTGAAATAAATCAAATTCCTAGAAACCAGCTCTTAGAAATTGTTCTACTGCTCCCTGGTGGCTGGCTACAGGATGAATTTGCCTGGAGTTCTAGTGAGAAGTTGTCATCAGCTGGATCTATCCGGTCGGGCATGAGGACAAATACTCGCCAGTAACATTGGCTGGTAGTTGTGCTAAAAGTCACGAATAGGTAGAAGTTAGAATTTATGGGTGGGAAAGTGTTTGATTAATTCAAAGTTAAATAAACACTAGGATGAAGTCATCGAATACATCTTTGAGCATAGTTCCAATGTACTCAGATATCGGTTGCCTCCAAATTACGATAAAATAACACAAATAATATTCGAATTTCAGTTTGCTGGGGGATTCGATTGACCAAAAGATCACGGAACAGCTATTTTATATTATTTTGGAAGTCTTCAGCAATACGAATCCATGCTCCTGCCGGTGATTAGACCCAGGAGCCTTCAGGTTATGGGCATGGTACGTTGGCCGTTCTGACACTGTTGGAATTCAGTGTGTTATGAATTCTAACCTCCATCAAGCCTCAATATAGTACCATTGTCGCAAACCTATTTCATTGATGAGCATACGATTCGGGTTCAGTGCCCGGTGGGGTTTTAGGTGAGCATCACTGAAGAGCCCTTATCTAGAACAAAACAACCATCCAGGGCTTTTCAGCCTTCAGTGAATGTCCTGACGAAATACCAATTGATAAAACAAAATGATTGAAATTGTCAATAACAGCTAGAAAAAATAGATTTATGTTACTTTACAAAGCGACTAAGGGATGCACTGGTTGCGGAACTCATCCCGGAAAGGGCTGGATTCAGATAAAGTAAATCATATGGGGATCAAATATATTCTTAATTGTGGTGGACACTGTGGAGAGCGAGGAGACAAGAATTACGTTGGACTTATGATAAAAAAACTCTAAAAGATGTCCACTACGTGAACGATTCGCATCCAATGTCACAGAAATTCGCATAAACCTTCATCACTCTGAAATCAATGTGGCAGTCTGTCACAATCAGCGTAAAGAACGAAATTCGGATTTTAAACACCATTGTTAAGTCAGTCAGTGTTTCTATATGGGTCAGAAACTTGCACTGCGCATCACAGAAGGCGTTTCCAACAGGCTTCAAACCTTTATCAACAGCTGCCTTCATTGGTTTCATACTGAAGATCAGATAACTGGCCAGAAAGATTTAGCAATGAGAAACTCTGAAAACGAACCAATCAAGGACGTATTGTTCAACAAATATTCTGAAGAAAGTGGAGATTCAGGATTTCATCATGAGCTGACATTAGTTAAAGAACCATTGGAAAACCTGGGAGTACTGGACAGCTGTTTTGTCCTAGTTTGGGACTCTTCAGCAGTACACATCCACTGGGATTCGAACCCAGGACCTTCCGGCTACAAGGCGAGCTCGTATACCATTAAGCCACTGGAGATTCATCGGATGCATGCTGAGGTGATCGTCGAGTGACATCGCGATCCAGGTCATGGCTCTAGTGGAACCCGAATGGCAAATGACGAGTTGGGTAATGATGTGACGGTGACGTGGGGAGGGGACATCGTGTGAGGGGGGATAATATATGCTGAATATTTTTGTTATCAAATGAGTTTTTATTTTCTAGTTATATAAACTGTTTTATTTTCTAAAGGAAATGTTTACCTTTTAAATACCATTTTATTAGTCGTCATCTAAACATAAAAATTGGGATGTTGTTGGACGACTTGAAATGGCTAAAAATAGAACAGAAGAACAAGTGGAACAAATTGTTGAACATGCTAAGTGAGCAAGCATCTATTTTACTATGTTGTGAAACAATGCATACTTTGTTTAAATTAAATCAATCAAATTTAAGTGTATTATCAAGTCAGTAATTTATCTTGAGTTGATTTATTTGAGATGGCTAGGATACGCTATGCATGCCTTTCTCGTTCTGCAATGTTAGCTGACAGAAGAATAGGTTGAAAGACAGTTAGTTCACTAGCTTGCTAGTTTTCTAGCCGGTCCCAAACCCGGGTAAAGGGGAGGATTGGGCATGGGGATAGTGATCTTTCCCCACAAAACCATTTAAACTGCTACAGAAGCTTCAGCGCACAGGAAAAATTTTACAAATACAAAAAGTATAAAAAACAATTTTATTCTTTGCTGGAATCGGAGGGGTGAAATGACACAATGGGCTGGTGAAAGTCTTTCGATGAAAGCAAGAATAAGAATGACGATGCGGAACGTACGTACAATGTACGGGACTGGAAAGGCTACCCAGGTAGACAAAGAAATGAGGAGAAAATGGAGATGGGTTGGGGCGGTTGAATGACATAGCACGCCAGGTCTTCGCTCGAGTGGAACAGCAATGGGAAGCGATGGATAGGTCGTCCTGTGGTGACATGGAGGAGATCGTGTTAGGAGGAGATGAGAGATTATGGACAATCGTAGACGCAGCTGGAGAGGGCAGCACAAAATAGAAGAAAGTGGATATGTGTTGTTGAAGCCTATGTTCCACTCGGAACCCAAGAGAATAATAATGGAGTTGGGGGTAACCAAACCAATGCATCACATCAGTCGATGAGGTCTTTGACTATCGGTTGAAGCCAACCGCGTTGGTGGGAGTTAACTGCCTAGTTAGTGTACTCGCAATGCTGAGAACAAATGGTTTGAGTCATATTGGTGATATGACTCAAAATCATTCTTAGAGGCGTAGATACACATTTTTCAGATCCATGATTCCCTCATATTTCTCACGTATATATTTGCTTCTCTGTTGTTCTTCTGAATTTTTCTCTTTACCTTTGTGTGCTGCACTTCCCTGCAAAGTTTTTCACGTTAGTTAGTCAATAATAATGTGTCATTGTATGGTGTATCATAGAAACGCCAAATTACACAGTATACCACAATGCCTAATCTCCACTCTTACACTAAAGTTGTTTATTCACTTAGAAATTTTTATGTTGTAGTAGGAGTTCTTTGAGTTATATTTTATTCAACCCGACAATCGTATAGTAGTAGATCTATGGCTTATTGCTTCAGACATACGACTTTTAACCATTGGGTCAAGCATCTGAACCTTGCCTCAGATGCTGAGGTTTGGATAGCCAAGTCTTATTATTAGGCTTCCTATGCAGTATGTGTAGTGTAGGTGATTATTAAGCAGTGCAATCGCATTGACACTGAAAGACATACATCATGAGCATGATTTTTACTACAATTATTTAACAGAAAGTGCTTTTATTGTGCCTTTGTTGTTGAATACTATTGAAAAGCTTAAGTGGTTTTTAGGAACTCGTTTATTCCTAAGTTCTTTGATTTTCCAAATGTTTTTTCATGCTTTTACGTTATGATCACTAATCTCCTAACGGAGTTACGAACCGTTCCAATAGGATACTGTATTAAATGTGTGGAGAAGTAGATTGTTGGCTTAAGCAATCAACTTACAGTCGACGAACCCTGGGTTCGTGTCTTACTCCATCTGTTTTAGTTTGGGCAGTTGGTAGAATCACCAACACTTACACAATATGTATGGCATTGATTTATAATTACGATTTGAACAGGAAGTAAAGTAGAATGATGATATTACTTAAAAATATCAGAATATCAAATGCTTTCTATTGTTCATTTTGTGTTAGTAATTCAACGTGCCAGATACACTTATTGACGTTTGCCTCATTTATGATGATGTTTCACTCGGTGAAAACTTATCCGTACACACTTGATTATCCGCTGGAAATTTAATCGGTAGAAGTCGGATGTACCAGTTAGCACAACACCTAATTCCACAGTAACCCCATCGGTCACTTAATCCCAGTGTGTAATTTAAATGTGTTGTGTATGTTACTCATACTATTCATGTTGAAAACATGGTTTCTACTATGCTATATTTCAGAGTTAGATAATGAATTCATTGAATGCATTATTCATCTAAATTATGCACAAATTTGTCGTTGCACATGATCTGATTACTGACAGAAACTTGTCCGTCAGGCAAGATATATAACTGTCGGTTTGTAGTGTTCTGTTCCATTTTTATGAGTTATATCTTAACACGGAAATATTTAGTAGTTCAGAGTATAATAACTTAAAAGCATCTTTGAAATTTTTCCCCCTCAATTGTTTTACAAATCAATGGCTTCCACAATGCAGAGTGGTTTCATCACTAGAATACTTATCTGGAATGCCTTAATCTTAAAATTTATATATTTGTTAATCAACTCGTGTGGATTAAGTAATATTGGTTGGAGGATTTCATGATGAGCTGACATCAGTTAGAGGACTTTTGAAAAACCTGGGACTACTCGAAGCTATGACCAGTAGGGTACCTCAGGTTGAAGGTCAGACAGTAACTCATCGATGAAGAAGAATTTGCGAAATGGACGCGCTATGTCATGAATTGGCAGAAGTTGGAATTCATGTGCCGGCCATTGAATCAGGTCTCAGTGGCTAAATGATCTACAACCTCGCCTTGTAACCAGAAGGTCCTGGGTTCGAACCTTGGTGAGTAGGTGCGTACTGATGAAGAGTCCCGAAACAGCTGGCTGTCCAGTACTCCCAGCTGGTTTTCCAATGGTTCTCTAAGTGACGTCAGCTCATGATGGAATCCTCCAACCAATCAAACAAAATTCCTACAAAACCCGTACTTGAAGATTAAGTAATAGGTGAAAGAGTATGATTGTTGCGACAGGTTGTGTAATTCATCATAAATTTTTATCTCTTTTCCATTCTTGTGCGTCAATGGTTCAGTGGTAGGATACACGCTTAACCAAAGCTAACGAAGTGGTCTGGGATTTTATTCCTGGTTGATACACACCTAAACCTCGCGTAGCCGGTAGTAAACCCTTTGTAAAGAGGGAAAGTAGGGCATATTAGACTACCAACCCCACCTCCACAAAAGCATCACTGCTATTACAACTTGAATGGTCAAGCTTGTAGCTCTTTGTTCCAATCGGGACGCATAAGAATAAAATATTAATGTATCTCCTTTATTTTAAATGTCTGCTTGTTATGTCATCATTTTATTCATTTATTTATTTATTCATGCAGTCAACAACTTCAAGAGTTACATCATGCTATTGAACAGCATAAGAATACAGAAATGGCATTAGAGAATAATATTATCCCTGAGTCAATTGAAGCCTATGGAAATCTACAATATGAATTAACTGGAGCTATTAATCAAGTAAGCTTTTATCTATCTATCTGTCTGTTCACCAATCAATCATTTTTATATATGTAATGTAATTTTAAAAATAGAACAAACGGATATGGGTTGGCGGAAATAGTATTCTTTTTCTTAACTTCCCTTCAAAAACTGTACAGTTAGATAGATAGTGTTCTGAAAGATCATGGAAGCGTCTATCGGAACTGTTGTTAATTTTGTGTAAATAATTTGATAATACCCATTGAAACATTAAGGACAGAATATTCAGCGAAGACTCTTTTCAACGAATTTATTATCCAGCTGTTTAATCATATATATATATATATATGCATGGTTTTTAAGAAATTGTACCCCATGAGGAAATTTAAACAAAGGTGTAAATATTTAATTCAATTTTAGATTCTACCGTCGATTGATTGGACGGAAGTGCTCGGTCTCAGGTTGACATGCCTGTCGGCTTCTTGTGCAGATGCTTCGACAATGTCTGGGCATGTAATTAGAAGTTAATTGGTGGATGGTGACTGACTAGCAGTGGAATCCAGGATGTGCATTCCGTCCTTTTTGTGACTCGTCATTTGGATGTACCTGCATTTCCAATTGAGTGGTGGTGTTCCCACCGAGACTGGAACCCCAGTGCTAATAGTTTCAAGCCCACTTCGGTTCAGTCAATCGACAGGAAAATCTAAAATTGAATTAAATAATAAACATGACCCCGATGCACAAGAGGTGCATCTCGTGGCCCAAGTGGTCTAGTGGATAACGCTTTGGTGTTTGAAACAATGGGCACTGGGTTTTAGCCTCGGTGAGAACATCATCACTCACTGAGAAATGCAGGTACATCCAGATGACGAGTCCCAAATAGGACGAAATGTGCATCCTGGATTTCACTACCAGTCGCCATCCACCAATTAACTTTTAAAGATGTAAATGCATAAAATAAAAGTACTATGAACTCAATTAAAGCGTTTATGATTATAATCATAGTTAAATGTCATGTACGGAGACGTATATGGAAAAGATGGGTAAGATGTTCTTTTCTGCAAAACTACAAGTTACCTTTACCAGTCGTAAGCTGCTGTTCTTGGCCTTTGTGAAAAATAAGCTACCTCATCTGACTGCTTCCATGGAGCAAGGCACATTGATCGTAGCCAGGGAATACTTTCCAGAGAGATGTGAGAATATATATATATATATAGTTCTTAGGAAACTATGTCCCGTGAGGAAATTTAACAAAGGTGTGAATACTTGAAGTCTTCTAGAGACAGTTGAAACCATAGTCATTCATGAATTCAAACCAGACTTTTGTGTACAGAAGAAGTATGGACAATTTCTATTTCTAATTTGGTTGTAGAGGGGTAATCACATATCTACTTGTTGTTTTCGTTCCATCTGTCTAATCGATGTACCTTTCCTTTATTATTACGATTGCCATTATTGTTATTGGTATTGTTATTATTCTCTTTTGGGCCAATTTCTGTCAATTTCAGTTATTTCATTTGCAAATCTAAATCATGAAATTTTTTGCAATCTTAAATTCTATCTTATGAAATTTCACATCATGTTATGTAAAGCTGTTTATATTCGCCTACTTATCTACCTTACACCCCTTTCCAACATCTACACATTCTCTGAACAATTCTATATATATGACATTATTTGTTTTACCACTTAATATTTATCTCAGCTATAATTATAATCACAAACATTTTAATCGCATTTCACATTATTATTACATTATTATTATTATTATTATTATTATTTGGAGTGGTAACAACTTTAAGTAATTTTGGTGGTTGGCAGTGAAATCCAGTGGGTGCGCATTTCATCCTCTTTGGTACTACTCGTCAGCTGGATGTATTTTCATTCCCAGTGAAGTGTTAATATTTCTACTGGGGCTCGAACCCAGTATCTATCGTTTCAAACGCTAAAGCGTTATCCACTCGACCATTTGTGCAACGGGATCCATCTCTTGTGCAATGGAGACACCATCCTTCAAAATTACTTAAAATGAATCTTCAAACCTCATCGAAGCGTCTGAACTAGTAGCCGTCATATCAGCAGAGGTCGAACATTTTGGTCCAATCAGTCAATGAGAAAATAAAAATTGATTTAGAAATAAATAATCACACCATTTTTGAAATTTTTAACGCGATATTTTTCTATTCCTTTACATTCCCGGTGGAACCTAGGGCTTCTAGCTAAAGGCTTGAAGTTTCGGTAACAGTGGTGTTCATTTTTATGGGACCGGGGTTGCTAGCCTCATGTCCAACTTTCCCCCTTTACCAGTCTCATTACTGACTTAGCGAAGTGAAGGTGTGCGTCGTTCGGGGATCGAACCCCGAACCACACGTGTGGTCGGCGAGCATTTTACCACCGTGCCGCCGACGCACTTTGACGGGATATAGTTTCTTAAAAACCATAAATGAAAATGCATTTTCATATTTTTTGTTAATAGTAATAACGATTGAGAAGGCAATATTTGGCGAAGAGATTCTTAGAGGAATTTACAGTCTCACACTGTACCATCTTCTTAATTGTTATTACTGTTAACAAAACATATAATGAAAATACATTGTCAGGAAAAATAATAATGATAAATATACTTTATACATGGTCTGAATCTCTAACATTTATGTTGACATTATTCTTGTTTACCAAGCCCTTAATAGTAATCATGTGTGAGCGATATTCACCCTTGTATGTTTTGAGGTTACAAAAGACTATTTGACTAAGTTTTGTAGTTTACTCATTGATTTCCGCCTGATATGATATATAGTTTCATATGTTTTGTCACCAAGCGATATTAACAGTTGTCCTCTAAATAAGCGGCTACCATGACCTTTTAGAAAACTTCTATAACTAACTGTACACCTTTTAAAAGGAAGTTATGTGTAGAATGTTTATTTCCTGACTTATGTCTTTTTAATTAAAAAGACTGTTTCAGCAAATAAAATTGTCTTTTTAACGAAGTCATCGACTAGGCGGTATATTCTTGTATGTAATTGACTGACTGACTGTCTGACTGCTTTCGACGTAGGACTTTCCACAGATGTCCAGCAATTCGAGTTACCACACTCCCTCCTTGTAACATACAAAGCAAGCGAAGACAGTAAAGAGAGATTCAAAAAAGAGACTGGTAATAAACAGAGATATGAGGCAATAAGAATAGTAATATGGAAGAACAATAGACTGTTATTGGATATTATAAATCACAAAGAGTGGATGCTTATGCGTCATCCACTGAGAACAATGATTTTGAGCCATATCACCGATTGTCTCCAGTCGTCATTTGTTTTCACCATCCCGAGGACCCCAACCAGTGGGAAAGTCTACACTTCCCGACGTGTTTGGCATGAACTAACTGTTATGGATTTCATTGACTGATGAAGTTATGTTTTGGTTTAACCTCCACTAGCTTTCTTTTTCTAACCTTATCGTATGTCAGCTAACATTGCCTGTTGTCAAAGAAGGTGATGGCTGTTCTAGGAGGCATGCGTAACGCATCTCCTAACCACCTCAATCGGTGTAAGTTCATGACCTCGTCGATTGATTTCCCATCCTTACCTAGCACTTGTCGCCTAATATTCTTGTATGTATAGATAATGGATGAGAAAGTCTCAGAACTATTTCCCCGCTCGAGGGTCAAATTATAACGAATAACAAGACTACAAATAGAGATTAAATATGTATTGATAACAAAATAGACATGAAGTTTGGATGAAAAAAGTAATCGGATTATATAATTATTGGGGAAATTTACTGTTCATGATGGCCTTAGTAAAGACAAAGTTTGGGCGTACTTCTTTTAAATTAAAAGTGAATCTGAACGAAAAGTATTCTTTTCAATAAGTTCTCTTCAGCTTTTTGCAACTATAAAAATACTTCTTTTTTGTACACAGAGTTGACTTGAATTTTTGGATCGTTAGTGCTTCTGCCCTGTCCAGATGTTTTGATTTAGTTCTCTTTAAGAGGTGCGATTGGATCTTATATACAACTTTGAAAGATTTTTCAAATTGAGCTGGATGTCTTGAATTCACCAGATTTTCTGTTACTGAGCTACAGATACACCTGCAGTTTCCCTTTGCTAACCAAGCTGGATAGTGTTCCCAAACGTTTTTTACAGGGGGGCACATAATACTATCAATGTACTCAGCTTCACAGAAGCAAGTGAACCGGTATATGCATGTTGATGTGGTCCAACGTGACAGCTTGTCTTTCACGTGCTTACCAAACAGTTTCTTGGAAGAAAATGTTCCTGTTAGGTTGGCAGCGAATTATGTTTTACTGAGAGATTTAGAAAGCCGTTTTCGGAGAATTTCTACGTCGGTATCACTTATAAATTCGAGATTAAGGAGCAACACCCTATTTGGGGCGATTGAGACCTCTTCAGAAGGTTTCTTTGCTTTTACCTTCTTGTTTATAAATCTCAGTGGAAAACAATTTTCCATCAAGATTCTTTGGAGATTTTGCAGTTCTTCGTTAACATATTCCTTAGTACATCTTCTCTAGGTCCTTGAGGAAAGAGAATAGATGAAATTCCTCTCTCTACTTAGAGGAGCAGAACTTTGAAAGTCAAATAAACTCTCCGTTCCCATGTGGACATTTTTTGTCGATAGATTTCTTCAGTGAGGTATCAACACTTTTTCGTATTTCAACATCGAGGAGACGGAAGGTAGACTAAAGTTCTAAAGTGAAGTCGATGTTTTTGGGTGGGCATTATTGAAGGTTGATAAGGATACACCAAGTCAGTGGACTTATCTAGCAACTAAGTCATGTATGTAACCTATTGGCTTAAGCATTGGATTTTCAGCCAGTAAGTGTGCCGGGTCTCGAATCCTTCTCCACCCTATTTCAGCCCTCGCATGTTAAGTATGACTCTTAACATTGTGTTTGTGTGGGTGTATATGTGAAATCTTTTCCGGATAATTGAGTTATCTTCACCTTTCGACAGTGTCTAGTTGTATGATTTATTTTCTCTCATACTGTTTTCTTCGTCTTCTTTACACTTTCAGGTACGTAAATTACAGAATGATATTGCTATGCTTAAACGTTATCGTGATTTAGTCTCATCTTCACATGGAGATCTTCAAGGTGATCTGGAAGCATTACTAGAACATATTGATGGAAAAACACCAAATAAAGGTAGTTTTGTTGTGTGCCTGCGCTGATTGTATGGAATATGTGCTAGTAGAGTTGATCATCGCTCAGCATTGTTTATCCAGCTATTTTACTTTTTTCTATAAATAATAACTAAGCTCTGTGATACTATTACCTTAAAATCAATACTTATCATCATTGTTATTATTTGCTAGGTACTGAATCTATGAATGTGGATGAATTGAATGATCTGATTTCAGTAGCACACGCTCGTATCGCTTCATTACAAAAGAAATTAGATCACTTAGAGCATAGTGAAAAAGAACGCATGAAGTCAGCTATGGATGCACAACGTCGTGCAGATGAATCACTACGTGAACAATATGTAAGACAAGAATTAGATTTAGAAAGAAGTAGGCATGATATTGAAAGGCATAAATGGGTAAGTCAGTCTTCTTTTGTTTTTTTAAATTTACATTTTTACTGTAAACCATTTCGTGATTGGTTACTATCAATACAACCCCATGTGTCCTTCGTTTCTTCTTAAGTTATGCGTCTGTTGAACTGCTGAATGTCTTTATTCAGGTTTTAGTTTTTATGAATGTGTAGATGCATTTTTTTGGGTGAGGAGTATGCTTGTGGTTCAGTAGTAATGTAACGACAGAAAACAAAAGCTAGGCAATAGATAGTTTATTGAGAAAATCAAGTGTTATTTATAGATTTTTATGTGCACTATTGTCGGTGGAGAAGAAACGTCTTCTGATTGGTTGTTTTCTCTCTGAAGGTTATTCTGTCATCTCTTTGTTACCGTCTCTCAGAAAATTAAGCCATATATCTGCGAATCATATTTCCACACGTTAGGTCCACCGTGATTGGTTGGTGGTTGGTTTTTTCAAGGTTAAGGCTTCGTTATCGTTTTTCTCATGACCCAGATTTGGGACGTAAAATTGACGTAGATTGTTGTTTACAATTTTGGCTTGTTTGCAGCCAGCTCTTGCCACAGTAGAATATTCACCAGTCACGAGATGCGTCCTGGTTCAGTTCCCGGCAAACATTACTAAATGTCGCCTAGTTTAATAGTCATGCAACTAGCAACTCCAATACATAAAACAAATCGTAACCACTATTGAAACTTCTTGGTTGAAGCCCTATGTTCCACTCGAAAGGCGAAAGAATTTTTAAAAAACTAGTGTGAACGTACCATTTGCGTATACTGGTGAGGCTAAGCTCAGATTCTTGAGTGAGTTCCGTGGTTCACTCGATGAAGTATGTTAATCGCACAAACCCAGTATCAACTTTAGGTAGTCTTTTCAACGTAAGAAAGTTTTGTTCGGAAAAATGTAAACCAGTTTGAGCTACTGATGAAGGTGTAGGTTACTGAGCTGGGTTGCATGCATGAAGTGATAAGAATCAAGTGTATTCATGATACTTCTTTATGTATTCTTCTTCTCTTTTTTCTTTGTGTGCTATAGCATTCTGAGACATTTGATTGTGTAATTTTCATCTCTGTCCTTCCTCTTACCTACTTCATATTTGGGAATTCAAATCTTTACGTAGTCTTTCTGACAGACTTAGTTTCAACATTAAACTTCGCACAGAAGTTCAGCAGTTCAAGTTGTTGCCAATGTAATCTAAGACAGATTTGATCATGACCTGGTATCAGTTAGAGAATCTTTGCAAAACCAGGGAATACTGAACAGCTGTTTCGTCTTAGTTCTGTAACCCCCTCCCAGCGATATGCACTCACCGAAAGGTTTCGAACCCAGGAAAATTTCGGTTACAAGGCGAGCTCGCAGACCATTCAGCCACTTGGACCTGATCCATTGGCCTATGAATCCCAATTTCTGCCAATTCGAGATACAAATATTTTTTTATTTTTTATTTACAGCTTGATTCCACACTGTATTTTCGGTACAAGTATGGAATTTTCAGCATGGATATTGGTAGCCCAAATTTTGCAGGCCGACCATAGATATCAGGTGTGCGTCGGTGCGGGCTCAAACCCCGGACCATAAGCATGGTAGGCGAGAGTCCTAACCACTGTGCCACCGACGCAACTTACAGCTACTGTCAGCGGCGAGTAACTGTCTTCTTATATATAACATGACTTTTGGGACCCCACTGATCAGGACTTCTCACGGGAACTTCAGGTAACTTCGTGTATAGAGTTAGTTTCTGGTGAGCATCAGATTAATTTTAAGGTGTTCACTTTTAGGGATTTCGTTGACTGAGGGTTTGATCACGAGCTGACATATATTTAATAGGGTTTTGAATTCAAACTCAGGTGATTGCGCACTGCTAAAGAGTCTGGAACTGAGGCGAAACAGCCGCCTAGTACTCTTTGATTTTCCAGTGGTTCTCTAACCGATGTCAGCCTCTGATCAAACCTGTAATTAATCAAATCCCTGCAAATCCACAGTGGAAATTGATTTCAAACAGTTTGCAGTCCATGTAAAATTATGAAAGAAAACTTTATATGGTGAAAATTTATTATGGTATGCTTTAATTTTCTAAAATTTAATCAAGAAAAATCACATGTATGTAAGATTAAAACGTTTGTTTTCATCATCAATCCTCAAAGCTCGTGTCAATAAACAAATGAATTTCTTCACGTCTTTGGAATTTTCTAGCTTGTTTTTAGTTAGACACAATGAAACTAGTTTTTGGCATACAAGTGAGGGTAACTGTTCTCTCCTCGAGTCAACAATTTTAGAATCTTTGCTTTAAATGCTTGAGACTTCGTTTTCTTAATGAACAGTGAGGCTTTCATGTTTGATCAAACCACTACCTAATGACTATTGAATCTAGGCTCATATTCCTAGGTGTAAATGTTTGGGCCTGAGATTGTGTAATATTATTAGTGTTCCCTTGGGTTCTGAGTGGAACTTAGGGCTTCAATGGCACGTCGAAATTGTATCTTGGTCTCTGCATCCTCATCAGCTGGCGACACGATCGCCATGTTACCCTCGGACCAATATCCAACTGTTCGTTTCCTGTTCGGGTTCAACTTGAGCAATGGCCTACTGCGCGATACTACCCTATGGCCACCTTAGTGTATGTCTGATCCATTTCCACTTTCTTCGGAATATTTGTTGTTCGGTAGATTACTGATTGGTTTGCTTCCAAGGTTTCTTGTTGCTAATTCTTTCTGGCCTGCCTATCTGATCCTTAATATGGAGCAGGCGAAGGCAGCTGTTGATAAAGGTGTGGAGCCTATTAAAAATGCCTTGAGATCGTGTACGCCAATAGGACGTATCTGAAGAGAACTTGGAGGAGGACTGGACCGAAATATGTTGCCAGTCCGCATTACGTTGATAACTTTTGGTTCTTATTTCTCTTAAGGAAGTGTGAAGGTTACCTTGCCGCCAGCATTCACGCCACCACTTGTTAAGCGACATTAGCTGGTGTTGGGTTGATAATTATTTTCAGTAGAGCTGACTCCCTTTTTTCTCATTGTCTTCTCACTCTTAATGTCATACATCTATTTCTTTTTAAACATTCCTGGCCTTTTTTATGCATTTTACAACTTTTGGTTGTCTTAATACTACTTTTTTCTATCCCACTCTCAGTTATCCGTCACTTAATATACGGGTATGGGTTATTTTGATTGGCGGTAGTGTCAAAGGCTAACTTAAAGTACAGCAACCAAGGAGTGCCAAGGCACCAATGATCTTGAATGTATATGATTGCAGAACTCGATCTAGTATTTCAGCACGGTCTGGATAGTAGGCCCATAGGAAGGAAGAAAAAACTGTAGATGTGTGGAGAAGTAATGTGTTCACAGATATACGCAGCCGTTGTTGACAGGTATGTGTACAGATGTCTAGACTGTCGTTGTAGCAAATCTGTCCGAAAAAGTATATCTTTCCTTTTCCAAGTCCAAGGACTCTGTAGAGCGATGAATGGGTCGTGGAACAGGGTGGTACACACTTATTTAGAGGGATTTATGAACTGAAATTGTTTTTGGTTTATCGTTGAAGGCTGCAATGAGGAGATATGATTGAAACACATGAAAACGTTATCCTGTTTAACTAATTTTTAACACTATTTGACTCCTATAAAAATGTATCAATTACACAGTTTTACCATGGACCCATCTGTATTGGCTCATAAAGATTTATCAAAGTCACTATAAAGTGCCTTTGCTTGGGTCGCTATAGTTTAGAGTATTTAAAAACGAGATTGAGGCTAAATTCGCACCTCATTTCGTGCGCATCGTTCATAGTGGTGCTGTTGTAATGACAGGTCCTGTAATCCAATAGACAGTGGGCGTTCAAGGTCTTTGGTGCATTCGTACTCCCTTAAGTTGTTCATGTAGAGTTTTGCGTTTGGTAGTGACTAGCTAGGTGGTCATGATCTAGCAAAACAGTAATCTATTTCCCGTTCTCTCTTCACTGGATTTTCTTTTAACTTCTTATTATCCTTTCTTCCTTTTCTTTTTCTACTCATTTCAGTTATTACAAGCTCGTGAAAATACAGAACGTGAGTTGAAATTAGCACTGGCTAGACATAGTGAACATCTTTCACATATGTTACAATTGGAACGAGATAAAATGGAGCATGAATTTCAATTTCGTCTTCGTGAAGCATTAGCTAAAGAAAGAGTTACCTTTGAAGCTGCACTTGTTGGCTGGAGAAAGCGTATGGAAGCTATAGAGGATGTTGTTGATGGTTAGTTAAGCAGTTATTTGCTTGTATGTTTGTTTGTTTTTGATATGTATCCACATATATATATTTATGTGTGTGTGTGCATGTTGGTCTCTCTTTCTGTTTGCTCGGTTAGTCTGTGACCACTTCACTTGTGTGAACTTGTCTCCTTTAATAATGTGTATTCTCCTTATATTATATTATATATAATATGAGTGTATGTTGACAGTCCGTTGCTTGGTGACATATATCCATATATGTTTGTTGGCATGTCTGCTATATTCGCTATGTATAATTGGATCGACACTCCATTATAATTAGCCATTCATGTTAAGACTGTCTAATGATTTTTCCCACGCTTGTCTGAATTATTTATATATATTCGCATTCACAATTTGTGTGAACTACCTTTACTTTACAACTACTTGACTTACTTACCACCTTGGTGTGAGACCATTTATTTTCGTCTCCTTGTGTTTGGACAATAGAAGTATCATCACAAACCTAGTGGTCTTCTGATTTTCGCCTTCTCGCGTCAGGACTATTAGTTTCTCGACCAGTCCATAACAATAATTCAGCGACGAGTACATAACAGTTTTGTGTTCAATTTGCGGTTAGCCTTTTATTGGATGGATTTCGCAATGTAATAACAAACAATTGAAGTGGATTAAAACGTGTAGCAGCGTGTGCTACTGACAAGATTTATAAGTAGTATATATATACAGATATAAATATATACATCATCCACAAGGATTTTGGATAACGAAGAGGTAGATTTGATGAACGATGCTTGTGAAACAATATGGAAGATATGAAAGAAAGATAAAGGAGCACAAAACTGAAGATAATAATAATAATAATCACTTTATTCCACAAGATATGTGCTAATGTTGACTCTGATGTATGATAGACGTATTCTGCCCATGTGCGCCGGTGGTATAGCAGTAGAAAGCTCTCCAACACTCCTGACGTGGTCCAGGGGTCGGTCTGCGTTCAACTCACTCGTAAACCTCGCTAAAGCTGGTAGTAAGAGATTCAAAGAGGAAAAGTTGGTCGTGTGAGGTAAGCAACCCCACCTCGTCTGAAACTTTAGAACTTGAAGACCTATGTTCCCCTCGGAATGCAAAGAAGTAAAATCAATAATAAGTAGGTAAAGTTTGCCTATATGTGTGTGTCAAGTTGCAAATAAACAATTCCATTACTTGATTCTGCCTTTAAAGTGTCAGTTTTATTTCATCAACATGGAATACTAAAGTGATATGTTATGATATTGTAGATTTAACGTACTTCAGTTCCAAGCTAGACCACGAGCTGACATCATCTGGAGAATCAGTGAAAAACAAGGAGTATCGGGCAGTTGTTTCGCCTTCTGGTTTTGGACTCTCCATCATTTCGCACTCATGAACCCGTTGGGAATCGAACCCAGGACTTCGAAGTTACGAGGTTGAAGCTTTTGACCACTGAGTCACGCGGATGGAATCCAATGATCAGCCAATTGAATTTTAACTTCATTTCACTATAAAAAAGGAAGTAAAATAGTAGTCAGCAATTGAGTGGTACAAAAGTAGTTGTAACTTAGTGACAAACTGTCATTGCGAGTTTAATCAAATTCAGTACAGTATAACAAATTTGACTGTATTCACCTTCCTTTTTTATACCTCAACGCTTAATTTTCTTTGCATTTTTAACCCAGAATGTCTTGATCTGGCTAGGCTATAATCATCGGATTTTACTGACATATGAATGCTAAGTGAAATGCTACTTAGAATGTTTGAGTGATTGGTCTTTGTCTGGAAGGTTATTGCTCTATAAAAAGTACACTTCTAGTGGTCGTGTTGACCGAAGATAGTCAACTTGACCCTAACTACACATGCAAATTTTTTAAATTGATGTGTAATTTAAATTTCGTCCGTTGGAACTGACACTTTTTAAATCTTACCTTTGGTACGGGAATTCCGCTTAAACAGAAGAAATGAAGCAGACGATTTTTATGACCAGTTTTCGTAGATAATGTATGCGTCAGTGGTTTATGGGTACAATGCCCACCAACCATGCATTAGATCCGGGGTTCGATTTCCGATCGACGCACTCCTGGACCTCGCCTAGCCAGTAGCAACTCCAATAAAGACGGAATGTTAGAGGTAAGGCCAGCAAACTATCCCGGATAAAGACGCAACACAAGCTCTTCTGAAACTTCGAAGCATGAAGCCCCGTTTTCCATAATGTGAAGGTAACATTGTTCAGTATTCTAGTTATCTGTGCAAGGAGTTTACTGTTGATTCACATCAGTTTAGTTAGCAGAAAACTGTCTTAGAACCGATAATAATTGATTTTAGTCCCAATGCTGCATAATTAGTTTTTAGGAAACAATAGAACTTCTTAGATTGAGCTTTCTATCCTGTTTAGCTTAATTCCTATTTCTTTTCTCCTATTTGTTGTATGAGTGGAAAATTTCTCTAGATATCCAAGACAGTTGTTGAATCATCTGGTAACTAGAGACCTTTGGTTATATATTGCATACCTGACAGATGATAGAGAAAGACTCCTCAATGTGTCTGGCTTTCTGGCCTGTGTGAACGAAGTGGTCCAATATGGAAGTTTTCAAACAACTATAAAACAGAAAATAATTGAACAAAGAATATCCTTTACGATAATTTCCTCTTCTGGCTCTAAAATTATATATATGTTTATATGCATAGAATATTCTAGAATAGTAGTCAATAACAATATAAGTGTTTTTTGAATAATATCGATTTGTAAAGTAAGGTCAATAGAATTGCAGTTCAATAAAGGTGCTTAAATAATAATAATAATAAAGATATAGCAAATAAAATGTCAACTAATTACGTCGGTGGCACAGTGGTTAGGACTCTCGCCGAGCATGGAAACTGTCCGGGGTTCGATCCCCTGCAGACGCACACCTGATATCTATGGTCGGCCTGCAAAATTCGGGCTGCCGATATCACATGCTGAAAATGCCATACATGTACAAAAAATACAGTGTGGGATCAAGCTGAATTAAAAAAAATAAATAAATAAAATTAATCATGAGCTGACATCAGTTAGAGAACCACTGGAAAATCTAGGAGTACTGGCAACTGTTTCGTGCTAGTTTGGGACTCTTCAGGAGTACGCACCCATCGGGATTCGAACCCAGGACCTTCTGGTTACAAGGCGAGCTCGTAGACCATTGAGCCACTGGGACCCGATCCAATGGTCGTTGAATTCTATTCATGATTAAATCCTCCATGCAATCAAACAAAATCCCTACAAAACCAATACTTGAAAATACAATTAAGGAAGTTTCTACAAAAAAAATGAGGATCATTCGAACTTAGATGGCCGAGATAAGGACAATGTTTAAACTAGCTTCTTTTGGACATATAAATTAGGCTTGTTAATGTGGTTTCTAATGACCTCGACAATATTTAATAAACGAACTCTTAAGGTGAAGTTAAGATTTGTTGGTATGTAGTGAAAGCCTCGTTAACATCAATCTTGTGTTCTGTATCCACGCGATGAGATAGACTAGCACTACGAATAGATTTTGTTTGTCTTGTGCTTAACCATGCAGGGTGGTGTTCGGCAATCCGACGATAAACACGCCTAATTGTACGGCCTATGTAACTGACTCCACAGAAGCAAATCAATATTATTTAAAAAACACTAGTATTGTTATTGACTACTATTCTAGAACATTCTATGCATATAAACATATATATAGTTTTAGAGCCAGAAGAGGAAATTATCGAAAAGGATATTCTTTACTCAATTATTTTATGTTTTAATATGGGAGTGTTGATGACTTTAACAACACCTTTATCTAACCACACTGGTTGGTGTTCTTGAGCACAAAAACTAAGTTCCTAGAGTAACTGTCAATACCACTGGTTTCTTTAGAGGCAGTTGGATTGTCACAGTAAGATGATGGCTAGTATGGGTACACTTCATCTTTCAGACACAGAATCAATATCGAAGATTCCAAACACTGAGCACATTGTAATTGATGTAAATCAACCGAGGTTCAGCCACTATTGCTAACATTGCTTGCTGTCGAGCCTACAAATTCTTACTTTATCTAATATTCAATTTAGTGTTACAGTAATGCATAGTATCTCTCTCCAACTGATGATTTTGAATTGCAGTCCATCGATACTATTGATTCAATGTAGTGTGCGTCGGTGGCATAGTGGTTAGGACTCTCGCCGACCATGCACATGATCCATGGTTCGATTCCCTGCCGACGCACACCTGATTTTTATGGTCGGCCTGTAAAATTTGGGCTACCGATATCCTTGCTGAAAATTCCATACTTGTACCAAAAATACAGTGTGAAATCAAGCTGTAATCCAAAATAAAATAAAATAAATAAAATGATTAATATTACTTAACAACAATATTTGTGTAATATTTATGGTCATATAAGTGTAGAATCTGATGACTAATTTGTCGGGGAGATTATTATTTGTTTATTAGACATTATTTCAAATTTTTAATGGACATCTTCAATGAATTAATTCATTAATTAGAAAATCATCTTTTTTTGTATTCTGTTTAGGCCGAGCAGATCTAGATAGATTAGCTAAAGAAGCACAATCCTTATGGCTTGCATGTGAAGCTCTAGCTTGTCGATTGCATTCCGTTAGTCCAACGATGATGTCTCATCATAAAGCTAAAGATGATTCAACTTTAGTAAATCATACTGGATCTCTGAGAGATTTTGTTAATTCAATTCGTGAATGTACTTCATCTGGCAATTATCCTTTTGCTAATGAAATTCTGAATAGTTTATCTGATGATATCATTGAGAAAGGTGTTTGGACAGAAGTTGGATTGAAAAAAAGATTTGAAAAGGTAAACAAATTTGAGATTTATTCATTTTTGACATAGTTCTGTTAGCATTGCTCAGTTTGTTGATTAGTACTGTGATCGAGGACACGCGTTTCATTCTGTTCGAGACTCTTCAACTGGATGTACCTCGTCCCCAATAAGTGGCGATGTTTCCACTAGGACTTGAACTCAGCCCCTACTTCAAAGCGTCATCTACCTTAATTTATCTATTAGTTGCTTCAGGTGGCTGTATAGATTCTCTCCACTCGCTTCTAGGTGATGGTAGTGACATTATTGGAATTGATAACTACCGAACAATTACAAAAGCTGACATTTTTTGAGATTCATATTTAGTGCGCACATTAAGCGCCAAGACTCAAGTTTACAATTGAGTCTACGCGGTTCGAGGTGAGAGTTTATCATAATTTCCTTCGGAAACCAAAATTATTCAGATGACATATTGTGAATCTACTTGATACCATAAATGGTAATCATGAAAGCAAACATTTGTTCAGAATTATATATAATGCTGATTGGTATCCAGATCGCTTAGATTATGGACCTATAGCTGTTTTCGGAAGATTGAGCATGATACTCAGTATACTATGCACTGTAATCAACGCGGAACAGCAGAAAATGGTTAGGCAACACGATTATTTATTCTTCAAGCTATAACGAAACAGATTTATACTGGTTAATCAGTGCTAAAGTTTGTAAATAGGCGTTAATATACTAGACAGTTGGAGGCAGAAAGCCTTCGACCTAGGTTTCGTGTTAGTTGGCACCCACTAGTCAGCAAGACGTATCTACAATTTTGAAGGGACATGAGTCCCTTCTGAGAATCGAACCCGCGTCACCCAGTGCTGCAGTCAGAGACGTTACCACTGGGCTATTCGGGCTCGCGATTGAGCTCCTGTAGGACTGTAGTGGGTATTTTGATTGGACACTAGTAACTAGTGTAACGTGTCTAGTCCTTTCTTTGGTGCAGACTGAATTCTACCAGTCAGGTTTTGCAATGTGGCCACCACTCTAGGTAGCTCTCCATCACGGTGCACATTGATTTGGTGATATTAAATAGTTCCTGCCGGTTGCCTCCAACACGTCACACTAGTTACTAGTGTCCAATCAAAAGACGTTAATATAATATACAACAACACTTTTGATCGTATTTCCCCAATCTTCTGCCAAGTAGAACACGATTTAGCAATGACAGCCCTCTTGTCTCCCGCCAAACGGAGACCAGTTCGAATAAACAAACTATTCAATGTTCACCAACATTAACAGTAATTGTATACCATTCACATCAACCAGTGGTGCTTGTAAGTACCGGACAGTCTCTTTGTCAGTTCGAAGCCGAGCTCATCAACTGTTTTCCCGGATTGATTCAGCTGAGAGAAAACAGATCAGTTCACAGTACCTATATTCTAGCTAGCTCCCTGGTTGGACTGATGATATTATCACAAATGAAATTCACAGTTTTGCGTGACTGCAAACGAGCGAAATGGAAGTCCTGTGTTTAGATCACGTCGGTCTGGTTACCAAGCACTATCGATTGATTTGATTGGTGTACAACTACTCATTTCAATGAATCAGTAATATATGTATAGTTTCATGCATAAATGTGCGTCAGTGAGGTTAAGTTAAAATCTTCGTAAAAACAATTTCAACTAAACAGTATCAAAATAAGGAAGGGTATGAACTTTCTTAATAAAGGCGACTTAATAGGGACAACTTACGTGACAGTTTGTCATGAGCATTATCATGACCCTTATAAATGTTTCTCAGCTACTTTGATGAACTTACTAACTAGTCATGTCATTATGCATTGATTAAATATTATTAAACAATTACTTCTACTGAAACTGTTATCTGTTAACCTATTGATTTTGACTGAATGAGTTTCGACAGGAGTTCAATTTGCGGCCAAGTTAAAAAAAAATAGTGTTCTAGGAGTACAAATTAACCAGTGACCTTGAACGCATACTGTTCGTTGAATATAAGAACCTGTCATTATTATATTGTCACTGAGAACGCTATGTACCAGTTGAGGCACAAATTTCATTCTGACCTCGGTTTTAAGTACTGTATGGATCATGGACTGATAGGTCGTTAGAGTTAGGTTGTTTTAGTTATCTGTATTTCTCTAGTAAACAAGCGGCATTTTTATGTAAAATACAAACAAACACCAGTTATTCCGGTTGGTCTCCTCAAGGTTAGTCCTGCGGTTCGCATCACTTTGATCGGTATTCTTTAACTTTGCTTAAGTTGCCACACCCCCATATAACGTACAAAGGTTGATAAAAAAAGAGAAAGCAAATTCGAAAAAAAACTATAATAAACAGAATGATAAGAGAGAGAAAATACTAACATGGAAAAACAAAATTAGTGTGAAAGGTTACAAAGAGTGAATGCATCTGCTCCATTGTACTACCAACAGTCTCCAGCTAACGGTTCTTAGAATCTCAAGGACCCCTGCCAGACAGCGTACACTTCCCTATGTGGCTCAAACCAACTGTCAAAGTCTGCATGAACTTATGGCGTGTTTTGGGTTGACCATCCCTACTCGTTTTTCAGCCTAATCAAATGTTGTCTAACATTTCTTGTCGTGGAAGGCGATGGATTGTGATGCACAACACATGTACTAGCCATCTTAATCGATTCATCTTTACAACCTCATCGCTACTGATTTACTTTCCTTACCTAATACTCTACGTGTGACTGCAGTATTACTCATCATATTACACCAACGCAAACATCTGTGGTCACTCGTGGTTTCCGGTGATGAGTTGAGGTGGATACGTCATTCACCCCTCTTGAATTCTGAAGCTTATATACACTATAGGTTTAGAATCAGGGTTGTCCGACTTTTCTAGATGGATCCGCCATTCTGATTGTAAGCGACACACGTTTTTATTCTCTTTCATTTTTGTGAGAAGTACCACTGCTGTGGGAAAGCAGTGAATTGGACTTTCGTGTTAGAGGCAATGAACATGCGTCTATGTGAGAGCATTTTGAGAGGACGACTGAAATCTACTCACCCTCGTCCGTATAAGGTCGTTTATGGGTTCATAATTTTATTAAATTTGATTTTTATATAATGAAATCATAAATCTTCGTTGTCATTGAATACTTTGTATGCTGCAATACCTGTATATATATGTAACCTGATTTTTGTTGTATGTGTGCATAACTTACGCGTTAAACTTACAGTTTACCGTAGCAATGGAGTCGTTAGGAAATAACTGGGTCACTTAGTCGTTTTCTGTATTCGTTTTAACTAAATATGATTTTATCAACAGAATTATGGTTGATAGTGACTATTTATAAAATTAGTTGGATGCACATTTCGTCTTATATGAGATTCTTCAATTGGGTGTACCTTCATTTCCAGTGAGTCATCGTGTTCCTACTGAAGCTTTTAACCCCTTGCATCCATCGAATTATGCTCCCTGAATTTTATTATTAGTTACCATCGGGTTAAATAACATAATGTTAATATTTGGATACTGTCGAAACGTCGTACTAGGAGCTTGGACGTGTCATTTCAGTGCAACGTAATCAATAACCTAATAACAACTAAAAGTTTTGCTTAATTTACACTTTGTATCGTTTTCTTTTCAATATCTCAGGTGTATAATGTATGCAGAAATGTTACTTTAATTGACGAGACAAGTGGTTCATTATGGGAATATGCCTTATCTTGGCTACAATCTGTTCTCATAGTTGACATGAAATACAAATGTTTACAAGCACTTTCATTCATCAATCCAAATTTTATTGATGGTAGTAGTACAAAACTTGATCTCTCTGCATATGAAGAGGATGTTGTTGTGAAACAGCCCAATTCTCCTAAACTAGATCCATTCTGTTTACTGTCTGCTGCTAAACAAGCAATGTTCAATGAGCATAATATTCTTTCAGATAGCGAAGATACTTTTACTGATGAAGCACTTGAAACAGCTGTACGTTTACTTGGACAATTACGTGGTCAAGCTCGTATTGTTGCTGATGATTGGTTAGTCGATGCTAGACATTATTTAGAAGTGAAACAGACAGCTCGAACGCTATTAGCCTATGCTGCTGCTCGTGATATTTCCACATTTCAGAAACGTTTGTAAAACGCTTTGATGAAGAAGAAAACAAATTGATATGTGTGTGTACAATCATATCATAGGAGAAAAAGGTCATGAAGTTGTTACAAAAGACATGGGTTGCTTCAATTTTCTGATACACTTCTTGCATTGTAGATTTATATTTAAAAGGCTTGATATGTCTTTTGTTTGTAAAACTAGCAAAGTTATTCTATTAACTGAAGCACAGTTATCTTTTGTTTTAGCTATACAATGTATTATAAAATATTAGCTGAAAATACATTAGTATACTTTTTATACTTCACACTTATATCTTCTGTTTAGTTAATTTGGGAGTGTTACTATGGGGTGAAGAGCTGGAATCCTCTTCCAGATATGACAGTGTATAACCGATTGGTCATTTGACAAAATTCCCCACGCTGAGATAGACATAAAAGTCAAATTTAACCGTGACAATGTTTTATTTTTCAAAATGTGTAGCTACTAATAAATAGTCAACATTTGACTGGTTGTATGTCCTTGAAAATCCTCCCCCAACCAGTCAAACAAAATCTCTACAAAAGGAATAATTGAAAATTTTAAAGGCGTTTTAATCTTCCAGTATTTGGTGTGTTGAATAGATACAAATGCACATATGTCAGTCATATTTGGGATTTATTTTCCATTTGACGCTGAAAGTTCACGATTCCCCATCAACTTCTAATCTCTGAATATTGGTGAAGAAAGATTCCAAGTCGTTTTGTAGCTGAACAAGTGATTCGAATGTGTGTGGATTTGCTGTCCATATTTTGATCACCTTGGTTTTGAAACTGTATTTATATGATCTCAGTACAAATATTTTGTCAGGAAACATCATCAGAGATTATTGGAAATCAGGAAGCACTGGGGACAGCTGATCCAATCTAGTTCTTTGGGATTGACTTTTACCAGGGATCGGACGCTATACCAAGCTCCTTATCCATTCAGCCACTTGGGTTGAAATCCAGTGATCTGTGGATTTCAGCTCTGTCTTGTTTCTGTAACTTAAATCCGGGCATGTTTGTTTGTTGTTGTTTTAAAACGGGATTGTTCATAAAAATGAGATCGCTTATAAAATTTACTAATATGTGGAATTCCCAACTTTTACTGAACTGGACTGAGTAATTTCAGGCTGTCACCTTTACCATGTTTTACTTAATTCTTAGACTGAGTTCTTATCACAGCAATCAAATGGGTCTATTTCCCCTTGTGTATCACTGATACCTAGTGGTTCATTTCTACACATCAAATGGGAAAAAGTAATCGGAAATTACACGTTCGTAGGTTATACATAGACATTAGAATGAAGATGGGCGATGATACAGCTTATCTCCAAAATACACCAGTTTGAATGAGTGCCACTAGGACGAAATAAGTCGTTAAACAATAAAAATATAATTTTATGTGTTTAACTCTGAAGCTAAGATTTTCGCGGGCATGGATACGCAAAATTTATTATTACCCTCTGGAATGCCATTATTTGGTGACTGTGCTAAATTAATTGTAGCTGTTAAGAATTCCTTATCCTACAACACCCTGCACTGAATGCTGACCCACACTATTTAAGTCATCTGGTTAGGCTGAAGGTAAGCATTCATGTATTGATGCGCAGTGGTATGTTATGTTTGGTTGTTCGTGCACGCCCTCCAGTCAACGAAGAAGACAACAGTGTCCTTCGTTTCTGGCCCCGAAGCATATTTCATATTTAGGACGACCATAATGTCCCGATTTGGCTTTCTAACGGTACTCTGGTTTACACATACCAAGTACATTGATGGTTGAGGTATAGATACGCGCATTATCTTATAACTCTATCTTGTGTACTCATCATTTTAATTCGTCTCTAAAATGTCACAAATAGCATTATTTCGGTGAAATTTCTGCCATTAATATTGTTAGTTTCTTGCCTTCAGGGTGGAATGCGCGCTCTTCAGTGGTACATTTCTATGGCATTCGATTCTCTGCAATCATATCCAGATGGCTCCACCACTTCCCACAAACTTCCATTTCCTTTCTAACTATTAACCTCAATATCACCTTTGGTTAGTCAGCCTGTCGCTTCCCCTTTGGTTTCATGTTTGATATCACCTGAATATTTCCTAATCGTATATCAGATAGACCTCTATTTCCTTCTGCATATCTGGTGCGCAATTTGTTCTTGGTTGATTCGCTGCCTCTCAGAGTTTCTTGTTACTTATCATGTCCTCTCGGCTATTTGATCTTTGTTATCGAGCGAAAGCTCTTGAAATAATTCGACAGGCTGTTGGAAATATATAGGAGCGTATAGAAGCACTGACATGACAGCGTTTAAAATTAGAACCTTGTTCTGAGTGCTGTATGTCTGCATACCAACCAAAGAACGGTGAAGGTTTGTCTTACTTTCACGAACTGATCCTTGCCAACTTTGACATACTTATCACTGTCGCTTGTAGTTGAGACGATGCTTCGGAATCACGAAATTTATTACCTAAAATATTATACCTTCAAATACGTAGTATCTTACACTTTTGTGTAAATTGGCCCGTTTACGGTTCATCTTGCACTGTTGTTTATTTTTTGTTTGGATGCACATTTTGTTAACTAAGAGTCTTTTTGTGACCGGCCATTGCATTCTTGGTATATGGAAGATGGGTAACCTGAAAATTGAAATTATGTATAGTAATTACTTGATGCATTTATAGAAATAAACAATAAATCTTGCAGTATCTCCAAAAATTCGCTTTTTCTAACAAATCATTTTGGGACAATTTGGTTTTACTTTGGATTCTATCCTAGGACCACTGATGTTTTTGATTTTCATCAATGATCTACCACGCCGTCTGAGCTGCTCGACTCTCCTATACGCTGACGACATAAAAATATGGAGGGCGATGAAGTGTCCGGAGGACTCATATAGGCTACAGGAAGACCTAAACCTTCTGGAAGACTGGGCGGTGGCCAGTGGCATGACTTTCAACTTGAAAAAGTGCAAAGTAGTGAAGTTGCGCACCTGTAGACTTCAGAATGCAAGTTACACCCTGTGCAATGAAAGCTTGTCCTGCACAACGTCGGAACGCGACTTGGGTCTACTTCTAACGAAAAAAATGGACACAAGCGTAAATTACACAGGGGATGTAGCGAGGGCATAATCGGTCATACACTTTACGCATAGACAGTTAGATGCACTCACTCCTGAGCTCTTTCTAATGTTGTACAAAACATACGTCAGGCCACACCTTGAGGTGCATAATATTATTGCACCCCCAATGCTGAGAAGAGACGCCAACCTCTTGGAAAGAGTCCAACGACGGGCAACAAAAGGAGTGGTTGGTCTCCGAAACAAACCATATGATGAAAGGCTGAAGAAATTAGGCCTGTTCTTACTCAGTTACCGTCGGCTTAGGGGGGATTTGATTACTGCCTACAAAATAACAAATGACTAGAATCACCCAAACAAAGGTGTTCTGCCATTGAGTAGGTATAGGCTCCCACGTGGATATCCCAGAATGATAGCTCACCAGAGGGCAAGGAACCGGGTGCGCTCCCACTTCTTTTCACTGCGGGTTTGCCGTCCCTGGAATTCCTTGCCGGCAGCTATGGCACCGTCTTTGGACGCCTTTAAGCGAAGGCTGGACAACCATGCAGCGATACAAGGACTGCATCCAAATGGCCTATCTTCTCAAAATCGCATATACCATTCAGGGGTAGACAATTAAACTCGTCGTTTCACTTCTTTACATTCTCTCCCGTCTTACTCTCCTGACAACTTATTAATATTATAATTACTATTATTATTACTATTACCGATGTATATATTATTCTTCAAACTTAATGAGCTGACTGTTGTTACGTTTCTGTCTCTTAGTCTGAATAACTTCACTAATTATATCTATTATTATTATTACTATCTCTTTTCTCCTGTCGACGATACTGAAGGACTAACTGGCGAAAGGATCAACTCCAATCACAGTAGTAACAGTCTTAACATACCTCATACTACAAACCACATATAATTAATCCCAGCACTACTCCCTTTGGAGTCAACCAAAGCTACGACAGTCGAGTGGTGGGACAAGCTACGCAGAAGTTTACCGAAGATCAGGAACCTGTACCTTGCAATCAAGAAGCGAGCACAAAGAAATCAAATTGGTTTAGACTAGCTCGTAAAAACGATATTGGATACTGGACTTGAAGACTGCGAGCATGTACTTTCGTTGAAATTCATCCATACATTGGCAGTAACACAAATGGTGTAGCCAACTCCTTTTGGATATCCGCTGTTGATGGTGAAAACTACTTGCTACTAGTCGGGTATTATGGTCTCCTCTGTCTTCTCTCCGTTTATCTACAATTTTTTGCCTCTTCTTCGGTCAGCTTTCTGGTTTTCTTTCGTATAACTTCGGGCTCTTGTTTATGAGAAGTGGATCAACAGTAGAAACTGGGTATTTTTGTTCGTCTGAAATATGTGAACACAGACTAGTGTGTCCTACATAGATAGGTATAAATATGTATTTTATTAAATTATTATTATTGGATATGCTTACTAATCGTATATGTAATTTATCACATTGATGATGCTTGTAAACTGGCGTTCCTCATGTACATAAATGAGAATTAATAATTATTTAATTATTTGTAAAAATGGGTTTAGGTTATATATCCCAAGTGCATCGGCCAAGAATGATTCCTGAGTCAGCACTACTTCGCAACAATAAACAGTTATTCGAATAAGAATAGATATACTGACATATTTTGGCTTAATGAAACTCAAATTGGATATAGACTGGTGCAATTCGAAGCTGAAAGAAGAGGATGATGATGGAGGGGACTAAAAAAGTTCGTCAACTCAATTGAACCTCAGCCGTTTAACCATCAACGATCAATTTGTTTGTTTGTGTACAGTAAATCACGTGGTGGTCAGTATAATTTTGAAGGGAAAGGAACTTGGCAGCTTCATTATGGTGTGATTATCTTGTACATTCTTTGCAACTGACAGCAAATAAATACTTTTTCAGCCGCTGTAGGTAATA